TTTTTCACAAATGATTATTTTTATATACAGTTCGCATTATGGTCATCTATAATGAGTGTTGGCGGTGGTTTAGGTGAAATTTTTGTTAATCATGATGCTCGTATGCATATTGCTGGTGAACATGCAATACCACAATTAATTGAAGCACATAATCGATCAAAATATTTAACAAATTTAATGTTAATTGTAAGTGGTGTTTCAGGTGCATTAGCTTATCAACAAACAAAAGATAATTACTGGCTTATTGGTTCAGGTTTAATGCTTGGTAAGTTAATTAAAAATATCATTAGATTTTCTTTTTTCCCATTGAAAAATAAATTTTTCGTTTTTTTCCTAGCTGGAATTCCATATTGTGCACTAGTTGAATATCCAGTTGCCGAACAACTAAAATTTTTAACACTTGATGCTAAATCAGAAAAAGCTAAAACATTATTAGCTTCATGGGGTGGAATTCAGCTCGGTAAATTAGCATTAGCCGTCGGTGGAGCTACAATTTTTTATTGGTTTGCTCGTCGTTAAAATAAACAAATGAAAAAAAAAATAATAAAAAATAATTCTGTAACCCAGCATTGTATTTCTATATTTTGTTTTCTTTTTTAATGTTTATATTTATTCGTGTTACTTTGGACTTTTGATATAATTCAAGCAATAGAATATAGATCTTTTCTTGAAAATTTTCAAAGAAAAATATTAATATGAATATTCGAAAAAAGAAATTAATAAATAGAGAAAGGATATTGATAAAAATGAAATATAACGAAAAAACGACAGATTTATTGAATAATAATGAACATTTGTATTTTTAAATAAAAAAAATGCTGAACATGTTTTTCCATTTGATCGATTAATCAAATCAAGAGAATTTCATGTCCTTAGCGAATATGCTTAAAATATTTATTGTCTTAGTCTTAATTAAACTCGATGATTAATCTAACTAACCAACTTTTATATTATAGATAGAAAAATTGAATGACAGAAGAAATCTTCATTGGTATTCGTGATTTTCCTCAACCTTATTTACCGTTATTAAATATCCATAATCTTGATTATTTAAATTGTGATCATTGGAACACTTATGTACCTGAATGGGTTCGTCAAGAAGAAAGAATTGATTTTTATAATTTATTTGAACAACGTTATAGGGAATTTGTACCAGCAAAGAATTTCTGAAAAGAATTAACTTATGAAATAGTTGAATGGAAAAGAAAAATTGAACAAATAACATATACACGTACAAAATTTGAAGAACAAATTTTACAAGAAAAACATAAAAATAAACCAAAATCGTACAAAAAACACAAGTCGAATATTTATGAGTCAAAAAAAGAACATCAAGTAGAAATATTAGCTCCAATTATTAATCAATTAGCTAATATGACTCATGCTAATTGGGTAGAATCAAATGTTTACTTTTGTTTTCAGTATAATATGTTGAATTTCTTAAGATAATTGATTATGATAGAAATGTTCTTGGTATTGAATCATGTGAAGCAACCATACATAGTAACTTATCAAAATATCAACAAGAACTATATAATCATATAAAATATAAATCGACATCAACTATTGTTAATAGTGAAACAAATTTTAGAGAATTATTTTATCAAACACTTCATTGTTGTTCATCATCATTTCTTCTTTGTAATACTCATGCATGCAGGTCATTATCTTCTTCACTTTTATACCAGTTTACCGGAAATTTTCCTGTGCGTGCAATTGCTAAGGTTGCTTGTGATTATCATTTATTGGAAGAAAAATTCGTTTCATATCAATTTACAAATATGCATATAAATTGTTTTAGATTATTGTAACGAGAACGATCCATGTAGTTTTACGTTGAGTCATCGATTAATTCGCAAAAAACAAACAAAATTAGATAGAAATGCAAGAATGCTAGCTGTCCATCCATTCGAAACAAATAAAGCAGATCAAGTAAAATTAATTAAATTCCATAGGGAAAGACGTTTTACTTTTCTTTTAAATAGGCATTAAATTCTGGTGTATGGTATCGAGCATTAATGCAAGTGCTTCTTGTTGAAGTTGATGGATTAACAACTGGTTTACAAGATATTAAATTGGAAAAACTAACAAAAAGGTATTTAATATTTGAAGAATATGTATGGAAAGCATTAGACAAATTAAATTAGATAAAACAAAAGTAAATTTTATTTCATACAAAGTAAACGTCTCCCCATAATAGAAGACTCCCCTTAATTAATTTATTGCAAAATTGAAAATTTTGCTAATTTTTCGGTGTTTTGAGGTGAAAAATCAGAAAAGACTGACATTAGCATTATTTCTTAGCTTTTTTAATACTTATTTCTAAAACCTAAACCAAATTAGCAGCAATACGTTGTCTTGAAGTTGAAGACGAAAAGATCTTGAAATCTAGCCGTTTTAACGCGTTCAGATCACTTCGACACAGTTCATTATCAATGATTGATCGATCTCTCCATGAACGGCGTAGATTCAACTTAGTGGGCAGCTAGGCAACAGAAGCTTTTCAATTGAACTTAATTTTTTTTAAAACATGACGTCTGGAAAGCTTCAGTATTGCCTCATATGACAATACATTTAGTGCGCTTCAAATCAATACATGTTATTTTCATTGAAAAATAACTTATTCAAAATAATTTAGCAAAAACTCAATTTTTTTGTGTTTATTATGATCTACCGTTCACCGATCAGTGTGCTCACGTTCCTATAGCATGTAAAAGATTGCCTGACGTTATGTAACAAACATTCATCATCATCTTATGACCTCTGAACGTGTTTTCGAACAATCACATCTTGACATTATTTTAAAAAAAGACATGCGAATATGTGTATGTTCGAGTGAATCGATTCTATATAGCTGTATAGGTGAAACCAAATGGTAAATGAATACTTAGCAAATAGCTAATGATACATTTCACTATGCAAACTAATGAACATTGCCTTTGTTGTGTTTGCTTAGATAACATCGAATGTGATCAATGATTATTGGATACATTATAAATCATGTCAACGTCAATTGCGTACATTTATTCAATTGAAAGTATTATTTTCTGGCTTAATTGAAATGATAATTTTATTCGATCGACTTGTTTTCCTTCGAGAATCTGTTTGTTTTATTGTTTTTTTTAAACTTTTATTTAATCATTTTAATTCATTTTTTTTCAAAGGTACCAACTGCATCATCTTATTTAGTGGCACTTGTTGAACCGATCAAATCATCACGTCGTTGGTGTTTGATTTCATTAAAATAAAAACAGATTTAACACATCATGTACCAAATTTTCTTGTTTTTTGTTAATATTCTTCTTTCAGATGGGTATACCACAAGGTGATATTAATTAATCGAGATTATATTATTGATTATATACAAAAATGTTATGATTAAAATTTTGGTGATTATTCATCATGTCCGGATCACGATCTATATTTATTATATACATTATCAGCAGTACAATTACTTGTTCAATTAAATCGAATAGATCTAATTGATAAAAAAAGTTTATGCTCATATATAAAACAATTACAACACGATGAAAGTTTTATAGGTGATCAATGGAAAGAAATTGATACATGTTTTTCATTTTGTACTGTTGCATGTTTAAAATTAATTGATTCATTAGATATTATTGATATTGATCGTGCAACAAATTTCATTATGATTTGTTTAAATTTTGATGGTGATTTTGGTTGTATACCTGGTGCAAAATCACATGCTGGACAAATCTATTGTTGTTTGGGATTCTTATCACTTGTTCAACGACTTGATAATCTTGATTTATCAACAGGAAATATGTTAGCATGATGGCTATGTGAACGACAATTAGATAAATCAGGTGAACTTAACGGTTGATCAGAAGAATTTTCGGATGTTTGTTATTCTTGGTGTGTTTTAACATCATTAAAAATTCTTGGAAAAATTCTATTGATTAATAGTGAAAAATTAAGTAAATTTATTTTAGCTGCACAAGATGATGAAACAGATGGATGTGCTGATCGACCAGGAAATATATCTGATCCATTTCATACATTATTTTGGGTAGTTGGACTATTATTATTAAATACATATGATGAAAATATAATTAGAAAAGTAAATTCTGTTTTATGTATGCCAGAATATATTGTTCAAAGAACATGAATAAATATGCAGTTATTATAAACTTTCATTTTTGTGATGAAAAGTTTTTGAATTCATGTTTACTTTTTCAATATTATAAAAATTAAAAAAGACTAATCGAAATATTTAACCTAAAAGTCATTTATGTGGTAACTGTTCTAAAATGCTGTATTCTCTCTTCCTTTTTTCTCAAATAACATATAATTGATATTTTATAAATGAATAAAAAAATTTGAGGTCAAACAAAAAGACAATGATTAGCAATATTTATGTCACGTGACGGTCCATATAGTGCCATAAACTTAATCATAGAGTAGTTTTTCAATCATATCGGATATGTCATTCCTCTATTCTTTTTGCTCTACACTACATTTCGTTTTGTTGTTTACATACAGGATTAAAATTTAAGCCAAGTTACTTTACAATGTCCAGTTTTAATCCATGTTTTCGAATCATGATATTGTATATTTTCTAATAAACACATTTATTAAAGTTAAGCTTTAAAAATAAAAGAATACGAACCTATGTGTTAAAACAAAATCATGAATCAACTGTACAATATTATCAAATAGGACTCTTTATTAAACAAATAAAAAAATCACTGTTGATCTTTTTATTGCAAAATTCTTAGAATATTAACTTAAGGAGAGTATTTTGAATGAGAGTCAATTTTAAAAGTCATTTCAAAAACAAAAAGAGATAACTTAAAGCAATTTACTGTAAAAACAATTTAATATGTAGGCGAACATATTGGTTGCAAATGCAAAACTTAATAGACAATTAACCACAGTGGAAGGAGTATGCAATTTATTAGGCTTGTCTACTGATGGTATATAGTTAACTATCATAGGTATATAATAACTTGGGTCTATTTTCTAACATTGGTTCATCATGACTCAACAATTTTTGAGCTTTCATGTGTACAAAACATATATCTCAACGTATCATTCTGCTAAATACATCATTTTTCATATTGCATACTTGTGATAAGCGTATAGTTCTTCGAACATTCATCTGCAAATTCCTTTTTTTACGGTACAAGATTAACTTGTAGCTTGTTTTGACCTTTTATGTTTGTCTATTTTAATAGATAAATATTGCAAATGTGAGTAAACGTGTATATTAGTATCGAGTTTCTAAAAAATGGCATGATATATTCGACACGAAATGTAGAAAAAGAACAAACTTTCTAATTGATCTAAAAAATTAAATCAAAAGACGATCAGATTGATTGTTTTTCTTTCTCCTAGCATTCCATTAGACGAGTTTCTATTGAGTAAGTATTAAATCAAAATTTGTTCCTTATCGGTGACCGTCTATCGATAGTTTTTATTTTTTTTAAATAATCTTTGATTAATTGTACAATATATAGTAGGAACGTTTTTACCACATTTGTTTAGTTTAAATGTTATGTCTTCAACCTTCTTATCATTTTTTCTGATAATATATATCAAAATAATTCTCGATGTAGCCTTGACTATCTATTGTATTTCTATCATATTTGTCATGCTGATCCCTAAAGTATGTGCATTGAATCTTTTATCATGATCACGTATTGCCCATGAAAGGCTTTACTTTTTCTCTTTTTCTTCGAATAAAATGTTGTTGACATCTCAATATTGAAAAATTACATCTACGCATTTCAATTATCAAAGGTTATAAGTATTAATCTATATTCTTTTACCAGTGCATTACTTTATTGTTTCATTTACCGTTTTGTTAATCCATATTGTAGGCCGATTTTAAACGTACAGTCACACGTCCCATAAATCCATAACATTTTTTTACTGTCGAAGCTTGGTAATCCGTAGACATATAGATACATATACAATGTACATTGTCATGACTTTTTTAATCAACAAAGATGGTACAAAGGAGAGAGAGAGAGAGAGAAAAAAAATAAGACCTTCATCTCAAGATACAGGCGATTGAGAAAAAATACTAATCATATATAAATGTTGGCGAAAGATTCAAATATTCGTTTAATTTCACAATTTCTCAATAAAATTATCAATAATAACAACAACAATGCAAGCTTTTGTGATGCTCTTCTTAGTGGTTGCAGCATTGATGAGCAATGATGTCTATTCATTACCCGCAATCAACTTTACAGATACTGAATTATCAAATCAAATGATTAAAACATTGAGCGAAGCTCTTTTAGCTCAAGGCGAACAACAACAACCTATTCGAGCTGATCCTCGAAGTAAGATGAAAAATAATTAAAGTACAAAAGAATCTGAGATTTTTGTATTTAGGCTATTACTATCCGTACCCATATCAAAATGTTAACTGGTATAATTTTCCTTATTTATGGCCTGCTGTCGCTGGTGGTCTTCTTGATCCCACAGCACCGCTCGCTGGTGTTGGTGCTCAAATGACGGGCTTAGGTACTGGTGGATGTCCAACAAATTTTTGTCCAACTGGTGCTACTTGCTCACAACAAGCTGGTCAATGGCAATGTGGATGTGGTACAAATAGCTGTGTTGGAAGTAAGCGATTCATTTATTTATTTATTCATTTTTATTAGTTAATTGTAAATTACTAAATTTCGACAAGAGTGCAATTTCTTTTTCTCTCAATTTATGTTGAATATTTTCATTATGTTCAGATAGATATTCTTGTGAAACTTCGGCAAATATTTGTCGAATTTGTTCACGTGTTACATTTGGATATTGACGATTGATATTGTCAATCATTCCATTAAGATCAAGATTTATTTCTTCATTAGCAACTGTTGTAACCGATAATGATTCACGTGAAAGTTGATCAGGATCAGTTCCATCATTAAGTAATGGAGTTGGTGAAATTTGAAGAATAATTTCACGATAGATAGATAAAGGAAGAGCTTCTGTTAATGGATAAGGAAAAAGTGATTCTTCGAATACATGAAAATCGATCTAGAAAAAACAAATAATAAAAAACTTCTTTTCTTGTAATTTAAAGATTCTTTTTACTGTTCTATTTTCTTCAATTTTTTCAATTTGTTGAGGTTTTTCATTGAGTAATGTTTCATAAAGATATCGATGCTGAAAAATTATTTGAATAATATAATCAATTACTTTTGGATATTGTTGAGAATTAAACAGAATCGGTTTTTTCTGCTCATTTCCGCCCATTAGAATTGAACATGAATGAATAAATGCTTCATCTAATTTTATAGAATTCATTTTATTTGTTCGTTCAGTTTGACATAAAAGACCATGAATTAATGTTAGGATACAAACAATTTGTTTATGAGTATAAGTTGACCAATGTAGTAAATCATTTAAAAATGATGTATATAAATCGATAAGAGATTCATCACGAAATGTTTCACGTTTAAAATTTTTCGAATTTGATTGAAGAATATGATCGAGAACAAATTGTTCCAGTTGAATTGAAAGTGGAAAATTACCTTGATTATCATCAAATAATTGTTTTATTTGTTCAATTGATATAAGAGAATGTGTAACGAAATCATTAATTGATTCAAACCGAAATAAATCAATGTCCAAAATAGCTAGAAACATTGTTTGATCTATATTTGTATATGCTGTTTGTCTGCCTATCAACAATTTTTTTTCATCCTTTCCTTTGTTGTCTACCAAGGCAACCGATTAGAGGTCGATAACATTTAAATGTCACTGCTTTTTTCTGTTCTTTTTTTTTAGTTCAAAATCCTTGCGGCATCTATGGTCGGTATTATTTTCCTTATTATCCTGATGCATCACGATTTATTCAATGTGATCAAACAGGTGTCTTTTGGATTCGTAAATGCGCACCAGGCACAATATTCGATCCTAAAATAGGTGTATGTAATTATCCACCTGTTGTTGTCGAAACTGGAAAAAAATAAAAATATAATAAACTTTCAATACGAACACTTCTCTTTTTTTTTTTTATTATTATAATAAATATAAAATGTAGAGTCATAGTTTCGTATGAAAATATCTTATTAATTAATTCATTCTATTCAAATAAAACACAATGAATTCATCATTATGAGTGGAATAAAATATCTAGCTACGTTGTTTCTTTTAATCAAAATGTCTTTCTTTTTCTAATTATTGTTACGAATACTTATAATATCATAGTCAAATACACCAGTTTCTATTTGTCCTATTTCATGCCTTTATTTTTAAAAATAGAAATCAATCTAACAGTAATTAATGTTCAGATCATCATATACCTAATTCATCAAATAAAGTCGATCGTATTTAGTCTGATACGTACTTGATTAGTATCCATCCTCTATGCAAATTAACTCAAATAAGAGTATTTTTTATTTCATTATAAAACGAGAAAAAAACTAATCAATTCTTTAATCAATCTCGAAAACAAAGACTGGTCTGTACACTTCATTCATGCATTTGGTTTAAGACAATGAAAAAAAAAGAAAAGTAATCACTTTTTAGTTTTCTTTTTCAATTCAGTTGACGAAAAAAAAAAAAAATAGATGATATGTTACATTCATAAAGAAACATACATTGATGGTGAATGCAATGTTAGAATTTCTGAACTTCGATTGACAAGGATTCTTATGAGAATCTAGCATATATAACATCCATGTATCGTATTTAATCAATGTCTAATTCGTTTCGTTTCAGAAATGCCTCATCGACAATCAATGTCATATGGATATCAAAACTCTTCACGAATAATGTCAGGACCGGCTTCTTCGCAACAAGAACCGATTCCAATGATAATCACCCCTGGACAACCATTTCAACCAATACCAATGACATCACAATATAAAGATTACTCGCTTAGTTATAATAATTCATTTAAAAACAATCGAATTGCACCGCAACAACCAGATTATAATACGTATTCACAACCAAATAATTGTATGTTATTTAAGTTAGAGTTTGTTAATTGAATTTGTTTTTTTTTAAAGTTTTTCGACCTCCATCATCAATACAATCAACAAAAGCACTTATTCAACCATCACAAATCTATTCACTAAAACAACCAGCAATGGATACGGTCTATCCATATAATTCGAATCAATCATATTATCCTCAAAATAAATATATGGGTAAACTTGATTGTATTCTTTTTTCTCATAAATTTAAAAATGAACTGTTTTTCAGAAGATGTACATTCTGGTAATCTTAGACAAAATGATAAATCGGTTATATTATAGGCATTTTTCTAATTAAATCTGAATATTTATTTTCTTAGACTTCATGTTGCTGGCAACCGTTATGTTTTGGTTTAACACGTTTAACTGGTGGAATTCTATTTGGAACAATGATAATACTTGGTGTTGCATCAATCGGTGGTCTTATTGCTTCGATTATTTTATACATTGAAGGTAAATTCATAAATTTTTTTTCTTCAGACTTCTATATTTATTTAATTTAGATTCACATACAAATTCACAATGGAAAATGTTAGGTATAGTTGTCTGTTCTGTACTGTTAATCACAATACTTGTAACATTATGTATATTTATTTATTGTTACAAACATGGTCGTATTGCTAATAATAACAATAAAAATAGTTTAGCAATACCAGAATATAATCAAGACAATGGTTTCGGAAACGCAAATAATTATAACCTACCATATGGAACGATTCAAAATATTTCACCTTTCTCAACAACAACTGAAGATGTCATTCAAGTTGAAGATAAACAAACAAATATTGAAACAACAATGGCTCCTTTACGACCAAGAGATTATCAACGTGGAGTTTGGCCAGCAAAGAATGCATATGGGGGTTTATCTTATCGTCCATTCGAAAAACCAAAAATGGTTAATCATTTTATACAAACATTACCAAATGAAATCGATCAAACAGTGTCACAACGAAAAAACAATACAATCAATGTTGCACCGAGAACCATTATTCGACTGCCAGAAAATCATCATCAATATGATGAAGAACAATATCCAAGTCGTTTTATTGAACAAAAACGACAATATGGCGTTGTCGAGAAAATTATTGAAAGACCAAAACGTCGATCAACAGAAGAATATGTAGAGTTTGTTGAATTAGCAAAAAACGGTGGAAAACGAATGGGGAACGGAAGAAAGACACAAAGATTTAATAATGTTTCTGTTAAACGTGTAAAAGCAGTTGAAGAACCAGATACTGTTCAAGATGATTTTAATACTGATCATTTTTATCAATAAAATATTTCTTCTTATTTTATTTAGAATCAATAACAAGAATCAAATAGTCAAAAAAAAACAAACTTATGCGCTGGAGAAGAATTTTTTAATGAGATCTTGACTTCGTTCATCAAAAAAAAGATGAACAAAGAGACTCTATCAAAAAATAAAAAACTATTACTATTGTGATTGTTATTCTAAATTGATGATGTACTTAGTGTTAGCTGTCAAATAAATCTATGGACCTAAATTCAGTATTTGGCGATTTAATAATGATAAAATTGGTCAAACCGTTGTTACTACCGATCTAACAATGTTCATGAATCTAATTAAAACCTAATAAAAATATACCCGACTGATTATAAGCGACCAGGCGGATTTATAAAAAAGAGTCTGGATATCAGAGAAAATTCAAAATATAAAGTTTAAAAAAAGTTTTAATCGAATTTATTAGCGTTTTTGTTTTTACATAGCTGTTCATATTGACTTTCCTTCTTGGCTAATCCGTGTATTTATTTCACTGATCATACAATCATTAATGGGTTTGTCTATCATATAGTAAACGTCAGAGGTTCAATCAGACTTGCCCATGACAAACTATGAGCCTCCTAAGTCTATCTCTGTCTATTATCTGTTTCCGTTAGCTTGATTTGCACGACGTGACTTGTGTATTTTTTTTTTTCATACTCATCTTGTGACAATGATTGAATGGACGCAGAGAAGTATCTCTATATCCAGACAAGAAAGTCATGGATACAGATATGACAATCAGTGTGGAAGTTACCACCATGGATTCAAATGCGTTCGGAATCCTCAGCGTTAAAATTTGTGGGAATGGGATTTAAGTGGCGATTTTCGACGATATGTGTTGAGCCATCTTCAACCTTAACTGACTTCGAAAATTCAGATGTAAAGGGTTTACCATCGACCAAAATCCGCTGTGGTAGCTTCACATCAATGAAATGGCATGAGCCCATGAAATATTTGACTGATTTAATAAAATATGTATCTGCTGACAATCGATAACAGAAATAACATTAACATTTATAAAAATGACTTTAATAAATTACTTGAAGAAGACATAACAAACTCGGTAATATTAAGAGAATAGAGATATAAATCAGAGAATAACAAGACTTAAGTAACGATTTATATTAGATATAGATAATTATAACTTGGTGAAACAGATAAATAGATGAATAAACAATGCAGTCACCATATATTATTAGTTAGAATTATGTTTAGTCACAATGATACAAAAAAAAATAATTTCCCATATTTCAGTGGTAAAAATATTCTCCTGTATATTTTAGTGAATACATTTCCTGCTCAAAACGTGAACTTTCTTCTATTGACAATTTAGGTAAAAACAGGACAGGTAGGCGCTCTGTTTGGCCAATGGCTGTGCTAGGCAGACTCGATGATCGGTATGAATCTCTAGTAACAATCTTAAAGAATATTTGAGAGTTTGCTTGTCAGCATAATTTTTTCAGAGATATTTTAACATAACTTAGTCGAGTGGCTCTAGCCTGATTTGTATTCAACGTATCCAGAGCTTCTCTCCATTGCATCATTCCTAGCGTGATGCGATGGACATCCTCATATCCTATCTCAAGTCTTTTTGCACCAATTACTCTAAATCGTCTATCGATAATAGGCAGTAGGGGTGTTTCAATGCATAATTCTTTTCATTACCATCGTAAAAATTTACCAGAAGTAAGTTTTGATTCAGCATCAACTGTGTTTCAATGTTGACGAAAAGAATTCGATCGAATGCAAAAGCAATTTAATAATTATTTTCGAGATTTAAAAACAAACCATTCATTAAATAATCATTCATTTGATGAAAATGGTAAATTACATGTTATGAAAATGGATTAATTATTTCTGTTTCCTTAATTTTATTTAGAAAAGGATTTAGCAATTACTGAATCAGAAGAAATTAAAATTAAAACACAATGGTATTCTAACTCTTTTAACTAAAAAAGAAAAAAAGTAGAAATGACACTGTGTTGAACAATGTTGTTTCTTAAATATTTAGTTAATTTTTTCTAGGTAAATAATAGTTATTCTCTTCATGAATGTTCTCTAACATGCATATCACCGAAAGAACTTAAAATTGGTGATTCAGAATCAATTTATACAGAAGGTGGTATTCCTTCAATCGAAGCATCATTACCAAAAGATGAATCAAAACATAGTTAAATTCGAATCGAACGTGTTAAATCAACTATTTTTTTGAATTTTAATCAAACATAAGGCTGTGAAATAAAAATTTATCTTTAGCATTTTGTGAATACTGACTTCTAACAGCAAATATACGAGAAAAGATAACAAAAATCCAAAAGATCAAGAAGAAAAATCGTATCTGTCTATGAATCACAAATAACCTATTATTCTTTCTTTTGTTCTTATTCGCACGACGACATCTTCCAATCCTCTATTCAACTGGTTTGCTCTACATGTATAAAAGTTTTAGTTGAATGACCGATGCACGAATGAAATAATCGTAATCGCAAAATTTCTAACGTCATTGTAACTTTGATAGATATAAAAATCGGATTTCTTCAGATTACTTTCAGATAGTACTGTGGTTAGCCAATGTATCTACAGAGTATTGTTTAATCGAAAGAATAACTTTCAATTTTCTTTCGTTTTAGATTTTTAAATAACGTCAAAAATTTTTACACCTACAAATCAAGTTTGTCTAACACATAAAGCTACTGTACGATTGAAAAAAGGTGGTAAACGTTTGGAAATTACTTGTTAACGAAATAAAGTTGTTTCATGGAGAAATAAAGAGTATGTCATTTCTTTTTCATTAAACTTCTAATATGAAAAATTTTATTTCAGAGAAAAAGATCTTGATGAAGTTCTTCGAACTCATACTATTTTCTCTAATATATCGAAAGGTCAAGCAGCTAGATAGAAGATTTAATCGGTACATTCAATACTGAGGATCAAACAAAAATTTGTCTTAAAGTAAAATTTTTGTTTTCGATGAAAAGAAATGTTTTTTTATTTTTTAAATAGGTTTTAGAGAAAGTTGAATTACAAGTATCTAATGAAGAACATGCTCAACATCTAGAACATACTTTTAGAGAAATTGCATCACTTGTTACTGGAAAATGTATTAATCCGGAGACAAAACGTCCTTATACTATATCGATGACTGAACAACCCATGAGAAATATTCATTTTAGTTTTAATCCTAATCGGAATGCTAAACAACAAGTTGAAATTGTCCTTTGATTTCCTGTAAATCTATTAAAGAATTTAATTTAGGCATTTGATGTTATTCATCAATTGAAACAATCAAATAATATTTCAATTCAACCAGTACAAATGCGTGTACAATGAACAATACCAGGTATCAAGAAAAAGACACTTATTTTTGTATTGTTTTACTACCATGAAGCTTGTTTTCCTAGCTAAAGATGCGAAAAAATTGAAAGAAAAAATAACTAAATTGTCAACAACACTACATATTGATAATGAAGAGTTTCTCGATGCATCAATGCAATTAATCTGTTCTATTGATTCAAGAGTATTTCAAGAATTAAACACTTTATTATGTAGTGAAACACGTGGACAAGGACAATTGGAATTATTAAGTTTCAGGGATGTTGCCGAAGGAGATGAAACATTAAATGATTTACATGAAGAGAAAACAAACGATTGATGAAAACTTTAATTATTGTAATAGAAAAGCTATATCAAATAAAGATAAATAATCATATGTTAATCTCTTTTATATAAAATGCGACGCATAAGTTTTTCCAAAGATATTAAACACTGTTAAAAACATATTACCAACTTCTAGACTAATGAATTTTCTTATTCGTTGAAAAGAGCATACTTGAAGTACAAATTTTTTGTCACGTACATTTTTCCAGATTCGACTTGCGAACGAAAAAACTAATTATCTCTAAAAAATTTCTTGAAACTTGGTAAGCCTGTATTACGTAATTGTTTTGAAATACATGGATGATGTGATCACAAAAAATAATACGCTAAAATGTAGCACATCAAAAACTCTATCAACATAATTTTTGGTTAAATATTTTAAATTCATTGTAGACTCATTAATTAAAAAAGTTCGAAAAACGAAATTTTTATAAAACAGAGTTTTTTTGCAGTAATTAGTAATTTGCAAGAAAATCAGCCTCTGTCTCGAAAAACCGTGCTTTAACTTAATTCTTTTTGCCCCCTTTACTCGAAATGTGCTAGATCATACATGGCAGAAAAGTCAAAAACACAATTTTTAACAGGTTCCAAAACAATTCTGAAATAAACGTCGATAAATTCTTCAGTCTCTTTTGGAGTGCGGGTCTTGTTGTGAGTGTGTATGCAATCTTCATACACCATACACTCGAACAGCCATAGCCACACTCACATCCAGACTCACACCCCATATTTCACACCTCACACCCACACTAGTCCTCATAACTGAGGCACAACCACATTTGAGCAAAAAACACGCACCCACATCCAGACTCCACTTACACCAACACTCACAATCACAGTGACCTTCACATTCACACTCATCCCTGTTTTTTTCTGTTCTTATCATAAAAAATGAAAGGACTTACTAATATACTTGTCAATAAACAAAAAAATTATTTTCTTTCCATTGGCTAAAAAAAATATAACACCCTATGCTGAAGTATATAACTTATCTTTTCGATATTTGAAAAGTGTTCCAAGCCAATATGGAGCATATAAAACACAAGTAACGTTCGTCGGTACGACTCACTTGACCCTCGACTGAATTCATTATATTTATTCTGATTATCCTTGACAAACACATATACGATTGAGTAATCCACAACGTCTAGAGATAGGTTCTTCTTCACAAGTGAAAGATAGAAATGAAATAAATTAGAACGTATTAGCGCTCAGATTATTCCTCATTAGAATTCAAACACCTTCAATAATTTTAGAGCGTCAATCGTTTTCGTAGATTGAGCTAGATATGACTTCCAATATGCTTTGCTCGCTTAATGACACAGATTGAGCCTATAGAATTAAGTCCTATGCGTATCACCTAACTTCATAGAGTGTAATACTTTCCAGCGCGCGTTTAGAATAAAACTTTTACATGATTCAGATTTAGATCTGATAATGAATGGTTGTGGTGGATTTTAGACCTACAGAGAATAAAAAAGTAGAGAGGATCATACAACATCCTAAAACTAAACGTTTTCTGGTGTATTTCAAGTGGTTCAATATTTATGTTCTAGCACAGGGAAATCAGAAGAAATGTTAACCTTTTTATTTGTTGTCTAATGTTCCTTCTTACAATAAGCATAACGAAAAACCATGTTACTTCTGCATACCAGTTGTCCACAATCCAATTTTCGCAATTATTATCTTTTGAGATTCAGCCACAAGACATCTGCTTTTTCCTACACGGATGCTATTACAATGAAAATTCGTTGAACAACGTTTTTCGTCGAACGTACGTTAAGAATGTTGTACATGTCGAGAAAAATTCTTTCGTACAATTAATTTGAAAGAAAATTGCCTTTCGTTTTTTGCTGATTGAGTACACTATTTCAACCGGTTAAACTCGATTGGTTGGTAACTGCTCTACGGATTTTGGATCTGCCAGAAACGTACTTTCCTTGAAGCTTTTCAATCAGCGGTTAGTCGTTCATCGGCGTCAGTACGGGGCACCACTCACAGCTAGCCGCTGCCATACTTAAGTGTAATTTCCCTATTGATAATACTCTTTCATTTACTATTGAATGGTGACACTTTTGACTTCTTCCAAAATCTTCTTCAATTTACCATGGAATTGTATTCTATGAATATTTCCAACAAAAGAGAATTTGTTGTAAATCACTGTGCATAGTTGTAATTCCATGACTATTCTGGGAAATAGACGTTATATGAGAATTTCTCATTAACAGAATCTTACCAGAATTGTCTCGAAAAGCGCGGTAGGCTTCTTACGAGCTTTCACTAAGAATATCGTTAATGAACTTTTAGAATCATCGACTAGTCGTTCGTCAAAGCTCCTCTGGAGCACCATTCACGGCTAGCCGCTTCCATGTTTAAGTGCAACTTCTCATTCGAAAACCTCTTTATAGAGCTCAGATGCATTTTCGAAGAAAAGCGTGAGATGAACTAAAGTCGAAATGTAGAGGCTTCTACCATTTCCTTTCGAATTGGAAAAATCATAGAAAATTGAACGTGATGGATTGTATTCATCGTAATGATGGAGAGGCGAAGCATCCGACAATAGATATATTTGTCTTACAAAAATTGGAAGAAATCTCGACAGAAATTTCCGATAAGAGCAGATTTTGTTGTGAACTATACTTAATACTTTTGTTTTTTTTCTAGAACTTGCTATAAAAACTGCGTTAGACTGGAATTCTTCGTTAACAGAATCTTGATGAAGTGGTCCCAAAACATATGTTAGGTTTCATACCGATCTATTCTCAACCATAACTGCAAATGACCTCGCAAATGAGCGGCTAGCTGTGAGAGACGCCCCGGAGGGCGCCAACGAACGACCAGCCACACCCATGCTCAAGTCTACTTCCACATTGGTTCATTCTCTTGTATTCACAACCAAACTCATTAGTGTTTCCCTAACTCAAAATAATTACAGGATTTACAATAATATTTTCTGACTTTTCTGCGATATATTATCATTTTTTTAACCATCCACTATCTTAAGGATAAAGCATCCGTTTTGACTGAAACTTTGAGGAGATTCTAATAATCATGAGACCTCTTCGTGGGCAAAATTTCAGGTCAAAATACCATCTTTTGGTTTTTCCATGAGTGTCTTGCCTGAAATTGAAAATCCAGTGAATTGGTCATAAGCCGACTTCAACAGTCCATGGGCGCGAATTTTTTTAGGCTTTGACTATTGACATTGAAGTCTACTTGTGGGGAAATATGAGCTCGAAGTCAAGGGGATACTTCGGGTACTTCCCTCGTGAGTGCTTGTAACTCCTCTTTATGGCCAAACAATACCTAAGACAATCCTAGAGGTTAAACTAGTTTAATGATAATACTCGCTCTGAAGATTCCTTGGCCTGTTTGTTTTTTTTCCATATATTCTCAAATTAATAGGTGAGTCAGGATAAAACAGTCATCGTTACTTCCTCCATATTGTTGGCATCAACGACGGTACACTCTGATGCTAAACGTAGACTAAAATGTCCCTTCTAGTCTAATTAGCTTAGGACATCTGCTCGGATCACAGGACATGTGCAGTTCGAGTTTCAAGCAGGACCTCTTGTTCTTCACTCTGTCCATTTATATATTCCCTTATGCTGGAATCCGTTATGCCTCATATATGATGCCTACACATATCTCTGTTACTTTTTATTGTGTCGAAACGGATTTTCTCCAAAAACTTCCAGCACTGAATTCTCTACTAAGTGCTACAGCAATGCTCTCTAAAAACAAGGAGTTTTACAGAACGGTACCAGACTATAGATCTTTTTTCAGGGTCCTGTATCTTGTGCAGAACCTTTTTTTGGGTTCTGCTCAATCTGCAGAACTTCAAAAAGGATCCGCGGTTGGGTACCGTTCTGTAAAACTCCTTTTTTTTAGAGAATGGTCAACGCAGATATAAAAGGAAAAACTCATCATAGTAATACTGTAAAAGTCTATCAGCAATCACTTTCGATCTGTTTTCATTGATATTAACTCGTATTTTTGGCTGATACTAAAGCAGCATGTAAAAATTTCTACCTAGAAACTTTATTTTTCAGAAAAACTAGTCATTATCCTGCATGCTTTTCCTTACTATTAACGCTTAAACTATTCGAAGTAGCACCGTTTCAGAATGCGTCTAGCCTTGTATAGTATCGTTTATTGGCATAGATACAAACCAATAACTTGCTCCAAGTAAAAATTCTTCGACAAGTTGCCTGTATTTTTTCAGTGTCTGGAAAAAGACGGTGAAAAACAGAGATACTTTCGAAAACTCGTGAAAGCTCACATTTATTTAACACTATAGGTTTTTAATGAAAAAGTTCTAAGGTACACTCACAGAATACAGCTGTCAAAGCTCAACGAAAGCGTTCATTTAATTGGTTGGTAGGGTTTCACACCATAAAAACTCAAAGAGATATCAAGCAAAATGCTAGGGAATCATTTGTGCTGAGGCATCATTATTTTGTGAAACACGATCTGAAAGGAGTTTTGAAGTTCATAGGGTAGAAATTTTGGACCCATTCCGCCGCTCCCTACAGCTGTGACAGAGAAAATTCATACCCATAACAGACCGTGACAGAGAACCCCGAAAGACCATGACAGACCGTGACAGAGAACCTCCACAGACCATCACAGACTGTGACAGAGAACTCCCAAAGACTATCATAGACTGTGATCGAGAACCTCCAGAGACCATCACAGACCGTGACAGAGAACTCCCAAAGTTCTTCACAGTCCATGACAGAGAACCTCCAAAGACCATCACAGACCGTTACAGAGGAACTCCAGAAAGCATCACAGAACGTGACAGAGAACTCCAAAGACCATCACATACCATAACAGAGAAATTGTAGATTTAAAGCATCAAATAAATGGTCTGCTAGAAATCTATCATAAAGAAATGGAAGAAAACATTGCCCATTTAATTTTTAACAATAGGCCCATCGTGTTTCAGTTTTAATCCCGCAAGGGATTGGGCTAACAGCTATTTCAGTACTA